CGTCCCAAAAATCCAATTTTTGTAAAAAATGTTCTAATCTGGTATAGGAACATAACAAGGTAATTACAGGAGAAATGACACAATGTCTAGGACTTGTTCTAGAATAATCAAGCAAAAAAGGGGAGGGAAGGGGGGAGATGCCAGATCAAACAAGATGGGCAAAATATTATTTATTGAAGCTGAATGTAGAACACCATGGGGTTAGCTATGGTGTCAGTTTGAGATTTTCCGTAAGGGAAAGCTTTTTTTTTTTCCCTTAAGATTTTATTTATTTGAGAGAGTGAGCAAGAGTGTATGAGTCAGGGAGGCTCAGAGGGAAAAGCAGGCTCACCCCTGAGTGGGGTGCCTGATGCCTGGCTTCATCCTGGGACTCCAGCATCATGACCTGAGCAGAAGGCAGATGCTTAACCGACTAAGCCACCCAGGTGCCCCATGAGAAAGCTATTAAAACAAAATTGGGGGAGGGGCATCTGGGTGGCTCAGTGGTTGAGCATATCTGCCTTCTGCTCAGGTTCCCCCCTCCATCCTGGGATTCAGTCCTGCTTCTCCCTCTGCCTCTGTATGTTTTACAAATAAATAAAATGTTTAAAAAAGTTTTTTTGGTGCCTTCTCTGGGGCTTGAACTCTAAGAGAAAGCTTTGAATATTCACATCTTTATCAATATTCATTGAAAGTGTAGTTGACATGTAAGAAGAAAGGTAGACTGCATTTAAATTGCTTGCTCAAGATTTGTTATGGTAACCGTATTATCTCTTAGGAGAAACAGGCCAATCTTTGTGGGGAGAGGGTGTTATTATAGTTCATCTTTTCGTACATTTTAAAAACAGGCACTTATATAATTTTTTGCATGTACAGAATTCTATAAATTAATATGAAAACAGAGGTCTTTTATTTTTTAAAAGATTTATTTAAGAGAGAGAGTGACTAGAGGGAGAGAGCTCGAGGAGCAGGGGCAGGGGCAGAGGGAGAAGCAGACTCCCCGCTGATCAAGGAGCCCAATGTGGGCCTCCATCCCAGGACTCTGGGATCATGACCTGAGCCCATGGCAGATGCTTAACTACCCAGGGGTCCCACTGTCTTTTGTAACAGGATATGACTTGATGTGTTCCCTCATGTCTGGCCCAATGGCAGAAAATATATTTAGGTTTCGTTTTAGTATTTTTCAGAGGGCTATTTTGTTTTTTTTTTCTGAGAAAGTACAATAAAAACAAATAGTAAGATATCATTTTAAAGAATAGTACTTTATTGAATAAGTTTTATTCACAGAAAAATAAGCTTTAATCTTTGATGACTGCCAGATTATATGGTGGAAAGCAATTTTCTTTGTTTTCCATACTGATGGAAAGGTTTCTACTAAACAAAAAGTCATAAAATTATATTCACAAATATAGCACTCTATCTCAAAACATTTCACATGATTATTCACAACACTAATACAATGACATAGCATCCGTCATTCTGTCAGGTTAGATAAACTATAACAGTAATGAAAAAAAACGCAAAATCTAACAAAAATTACATTAAAGCCTTTATTACATCAACTTGAAAACTCAAATTTTTTACTAAGCATAGAGAAAATGACAAAATATACTTACACAGTAATTTTAAATGTTGCATTAATGATACACAATAACAACGTAGGAAATGTCAAAAAAAATCTATATGCACATCTGCAAACTTTAGTCTTCAAAACAGAATCTTACCACCCAAAACATTAATGTAGTATTGTACAATTTGAAGATATATGTATTTAAGATTGTCCTACTGTATTAGTCATAAAGTGTCATTTAATATGTAGTGAAAGTTATGGTATAAAAGAAAGAAGAGTTGAAAAAATAAACATTTGAGACCTCCCCTGGGAGGTAACTCGAAGTTTTTCACCTTCAAACTATGTCCCAGTCTGGGCTGCCACTAATTAGCTAGACAGCTTTGAATAAATCACTTCACCTTTGAGCCACAGTTGTTTCACCTGTAGAACGAGGGAAAAGAATCAGATACTCTCTAAGGTCACTTCTAGCTCTGACACTCTAGGATTCTAGTATGCCGCTAGTGAAATTCACATTGTGCTAAGTAAGAGTCAAATTGACACTGATTATGAAAATGGGAATAAGCCAATTGTTTCTATTAGGAAAGCTCACCTGAATTTGATAAGAATAGGGTTTTTTTCTCAAAGTTTTAAAAAAGGAACTTAAATATTTTCAAAGACCTGACCTATTTCTTATAGTTTACATCTTAACTATGAGAAACACCAAAAAAGATGAGTAAGGGTCACTGAAAGAGTCATCATCTAAGTTTTTGCCCAAATTTCCAGTCAAGGCAAACCCATGAAGGGTGAGAGAGTGCTGGGAAGGGAATGGTATTTTTAAGATTTTATTTATTTATTCATGAGAAACACACAGAGAGAGGCAGAGACACAGGCAGAGAGAGAAGCAGGCTCCATGCAGGGAGCCCAATGTGGGACTCGATCTCAGGTCTCCAGGGTCACACCCTGGGCCGAAGGCAGTTGCTCAACTGAGCCATCAAGGTGTCCCAGGAATGGTATTTTATATACGGGGTTCTCCCTGAACTCTCATGATTTCATAACATAGGTATTATTCTTATTTTAGAGATGAAGAAACAGCTCTTTTTTAAAGCAGACTTGGCTAAAAATAACTACATCTGTCAAATATCCCCTCTTGTTTTCTTAATTTCTCTAATGGGAATGAAAAGCCTACCCCGTTCCTCCCACTCCGCCACACTTTCCCCTCATATTCAACACCTGGGTGATCAGGAAATTATGATTTGGGCCTAAAGAGTACAATACGTGCACCTAATGCTGTGGTGGTAGTCTCCATTCAGAGAGTTCAAAACACCAATTTTATCCACTAAAATGAAAACGGGGAAAAAAAAAACCTACCAAAATTTAAATAATGTAACAACAAAAAAGATCAAAGCAGGGCCAAATCACATTATATACACCCATTACACCTGCCTTACCCCGTCTTAGCTCCTAACCAAAGGGGGGGAAAAAACAAAACCAAAAACCCAAACCTAGCAGGAAAGGCAATACAAAGACGTTGATTAATAAATTGGGAGTTTATGCTTTATAAACATGAAACCTATTTTTCAAAAAAATTAAAACTAGGCTTTTGATCAACACACCAAATTATTATGAATAAAGATGACTACTTACTACCAAACAACTTGACTCATTGCATGACTAAAATGTAGTATAAAATAGGTGGTGACTTCAAAATCTTTAGAGTGAACTTTCTAACAGAAAAGGAATGTCTACATGTAGATACGGAGAACTATTTTGGGAAAGAGGGAGGCACAGATTTGGATCTCGTTATATTTTTGACCTTGCAAGTAATCATTTTTTGCACAACTAAATGGAAAGGATCCAGTGCTTTTTATAGTGAGAACACAGACAAACATTGGTAAGTCTTAAAAAAAAATGTGATTAGAAGTTGGAGTGCTGAGTGATTTCAGAACCTGAAGCAACAGCATTTCTAAACAATTCTTAAAATAAACTTGTTAGCCACATCAGCTTCATGCATTACATTTCACAACTCATGGGGAGAAAAAAGGTCTTTCTTAACTCCAAACATACAAGTTTTAAAAGAAGAGTTTTAATGAACTGAAGCTCCCAGAACAGGAAAAGCCTTATGTTAAAACAATTCAGTCCTTGGCCAACAACTAGATTGAACTAACTACCTGACTGGGAGCTGACATGTTCTGGAAAACACATTTAAAAACCTTTAACAAAAAAAAAAACAATTAAAAAAAATAAAAACCTTTAACACTTTTCTCCCCTTGTAATTTAAACCCAAAGCTTAGACTATGTATGTAAAATTTAATTTAATGAACATTTAGTGGAAGTGCAAAGGTAAAAAACTGAGTTTACACAAAAAACTGGGCAGTCATTTAATTTCAAAAATTCTCATTTAAATTTGCAATGCTTTAAAAGACTATCACTTAAAATATCATCAACAGAGGTGAGGAGAACATGACAATACTCTCTTAGAAAATACAATGAAAATAGAATTTTTGGTTTCACTCTCAAACATTTCTCCACAGTACAATGCCTCACTCACCTCTATAATGGGTCGTTTTTAGAATCTTGTAAGTAAACCCTGGGTGTTCTACGAAGCACTTTTAAACTGTTTTGGTTTTTTTTTAAATCTATATTGACTCTTATTCAAGTTTTATTTTCTTTTTAATACTTAAACAAGTATTCTCGTTTTGTCAGTATTTTATAATTTCCAAGAGATTTTAAGGATCTTGAGAGAACATTTATTTAAGAAGTATCTACTACTATTACTAGTCAAGGAAACGATTTAGGTAAAGACTTGACATTCTGTCCTATGTACATCTTAATTATCCTAACAGTAAAAACGCACATGAAACTTTAAGGTACAAGATATGAGAATCTTAACATGGAAAGCTGTCACTATAACTACAAGCAGTATACAAACATGCTTCTACTTTTTCCTACATAAGCTGACAGATGTTTAAAATACTGGGTTAACAAAGATCTTTTAGTAAAGTGACTTAGGCAGGCTTAAACTAGCAAGGATTAAGGATGAATCCTTACTAATTAATTGGAAGATCTGAGACATATTTTATATTTCATTTTACAAAATCAGGAAGATTTATTTTGAAACAAGAGAAGAAGACATGGTCTACCTGTCAGAAAACTACCACTCAGAAATACTTTTCATCCACAAAGCAGGAAATACATAAAAACATTTAAATTTCACATTGGCACCAAAAAGGTTAACTGCTCTGCCTTCTTGGACTAGAAAAACTAAAGCTGAGCAATAAGTAGTTTTGCAGGCGTTTGAACATGCCTAAGCCTTTAAATCAGTAAAATACTTTCTAAAAATTCTGATTACAAAAGTAATATATACTTATAAAAAATCCAAACAGAACAAAATGAAAAAAGTAGAAAGTGAAAGGCCCCTGCAAATCCCCTCTGGGACTGACCCCCCCACCCCCCCCCCACAAGAGAAACCACATTTAACAGTCTGATGCTTTATTTTTCCAAATCTTTTGTTCTATACATACAGAAAATACACACACCTTCATCTGGCTCATTCTATACATAGTGTTTTGCCACTTCAGTTTATACTCAATGTATCTTTGACATCTTTCCATGTCAGTACATGTTGGCTAGATGGTACTCTATTCTTAAATACCCTTTTAACAATGGCAAAATCATTTTTAAAAATCACCCACCGAAGCACATGTGTATAATTTTAAAAGAGAATGAACAAAATCCTAAAACACAAAAACAAACATCTAAAAATAATCGGTATCTTTCCACCAGTGTGGAACAGTTCATTCCTTTTCACACAAAACAAATTATGAGATTGGGGAGATTAATTCTAATCTCCACGTTTACACAGAATGCTCCATTTGTTAAGCCTATATGAAAAGAATGAAAAATTCAGTTGATTAACTCACACTTAGAAACTAAGTTAGTGTAGTACAAATACAAATACACATTGTGATCAATTACAATATGATGCTTCTTAGTCTAGATTTCAATTGAGTAAAAAAAGATATATAACGTAGCTAATGTCCCCCCAAATCCAGAAATTCAAATTTTAGATTACAAACTAGAGCACTGTAGTTTACATTTTGTCTACTTGGTAGCAAATGCTAATGGCATTCGATGCTAATTAAAGTCGGTTCACATCACACACTCAATCAGGGTAACGAGAAGAACATAATGCGCCTAACTGTAGAGTGAGATTAAGACATAAAAATTTTTTGCTTGAAAGTAATGACTGTATAGCACATGGGACATTTGTCAACTGCTTCAGCACATTGTTTACAAGTGACCAGATGTCCGCAAGGAATGAAAACCACAGCAATATTTCTATCCATACAGATTTTGCAAAGCTTCTCCTCTTGCAGGAGTCTGAGCTGCTCTTCAGCACTAATCTCTGCACAAAGAGAAAAGAAATGTGTTAATTGTAGACTTTCTTAGTTGTTGAAATGCATTGAAACAACGAAAACCCCTACTATGTGCCAGGTGCTAATCAAGGCCTGGGAGACAGGATGAGTCACACGTGACACCTGCTCTTCAGTAGCTTGCAGGCTAGAGGAGAGGAGGGCGTGAGCTGAGGCTGTGGGGGAAGCACAAAGTACAAAGTGATAAGTGTTATCATAAAGTTACGTACAAAGTGCTCGGGGATGAGCTGAGAGAACAAGTTCTTCTGTTCAGATGAGTTGGGGAAGGCTTCACAGGCTGGCAGCTGCAGGGCAGGGGGCCGGGGGGACAGGGGAAGTGGAGGAGTGACATTTATTTATTTATAAGATTTTATTTAGTTATTCATGAGAGAGACACAGAGAGAGAGGCAGAGACACAAGCAGAGGGAGAAGCAGGCTCCATGCAGGGAGCCGGATGTGGGACTCAATCCCGGGATCCCAGGATGTCACCCTGGGCCGAAGGCAGTCGCGCAACCACTGAGCCACCCAGGCATCCCTAGGAGTGACATTTAAACATGGCCAACAGGGGACGCCTGGATTGCTCAGTGGTTAGTCTGCTTGAAGATTCTCTTCTGGGCAGCCTGGGTGGCTCAAGTGGTTGCACAACTGCCTTCAGCTCAGGGTGTGATCCTGGACTCCAGGGATCGAGTCCCACATCGGGCTCCCTGCATGGAGCCTGCTTCTCCCTCTGCCTGTGTCTCTGCCTCTCTCATGAATAAGTAAATAATCTTTAAAATAAATAGATAAGTAAATAAACAAACATGGCCAGCAATTTACCAGGCTGAGAAGCAAGGATTAGGTAAAAGAACTGACATATGGGAAGGGCATGGCTTACTCCAGAAACAGAGGGATGGATCTGAGGGACACTTCTGAAGCAGGACTACTAGGATTTGGGGACTGATTATATGTGAGAGGTGAGGAAAACGAGCTGATTTTAAGATTTCTAGTGGCTGACAAGAGGATGGTGATGCCAAAAAGAAATATAGGAGGTACTGGTTTGGCATTTTCAAGTTTTTTAAAAAAGATTTTATTTATTTATTCATGAGAGACACAGAGAAAAAGAGAGGGAGAGACACAGGCAGAGGGAGAAGCCGGCTCCATGCAGGGAGCCTGACGTGGGACTCGATCCTGGGTCTCCAGGATCACACCCTAGCCTAGGCTGATGGTGGCACTAAACTGCTGAGCCACCCGGGCTGCCCTCAAGTTGTTTTTGAGGTGTTTGCAGGGCATCCATACGTAAATGTCATTGGACAGTCACGTCTTGAGGTCAGAAGAAGTTAGGGCTAGAGACAGAGATTTGGGTGACATTAGCATATAGGTGGCACTAAAGCACTTGCTTAATTCAGCCTTTCTCAAACTAGGTTTTGTGATGTCTTAACAAACATATCACAGAAATGTGTTTCGTGGTGAAAGAACTCTAGTAACAAGGGCACCTGGGCGGTTCAGTCAGTTAAGCATCTGACTCTTGATCTCAGGGTTGTGAGTTCAAGCCCTGTGTTGGGCTCCACTCTGGGTGTGGAGCCTGCTTAAAAAAACAAAACTATAATGACAACATCATCAACAATGGCAGCAGTTAACAGTAACACAGCACTTACTACTACGTGCCAGGCACTATTTCAGAGGCATTACATATTTTAACAATCTTTGTAGGCCAGTGGTTTCCAAATCTGGTCTCACATGGGAATCACTTGGGGGCATTTTTAAAAAAGATTTCTTTTTTTTTAAAAGATTTTATTTATTTATTTATTCATGAGAGACACACACACAGAGAGAGAGAGAGAGGCAGAGACACAGGCAGAGGGATAAACAGGCTCCATGCAGGGAGTCCGACGCGGGACTTGATCCCGGGACCCCAGGATCACGCCCTGAGCCAAAGGCAGGCGCTAAACCAATGAGCCACCCAGGGATCTCCAGATTTCTTTATTTATCTATGTAAGAAAGAGGGGCAGAAGATAATCTTTTTTTTTTTTTTTTTTAAGATTTTATCTATTTATTCATGAGAGACACAGACAGAGGGAGAAGCAAGCTCCATGCAGGGAGCCCGACACGGGACTCGATCCCGGGACTCCAGGATCATGCCCTGAGCTGAAGGCAGATGCTCAACTGCTTGAGTCACCCAGGGATCCCAGAAGAAAATCTTCCAGCAGACTAACTGCTGAGCCAAGAGATCATGACCGGAGCCCAAACCAGGAAACAGGTGCTTAAATGATTGAGCAACTCAGGTGCAATTGAGGAATTCTTCTAAATGATAGATGGCTAGGTCCCACTCACTAAATCTAAAATTTCTAGGGTTTTTGTTGTTGTTGTTCTGAAATTACAGTATGCAAAATAAAGAAGATATGGTTTTATACAGCAACAACAGCAACAATTTCTGAGATGGCACACACTGGTATTTGGCAACCAGTGCCGTGAAATACAGGTCAATACAGTAGAGTGTATGTCCCCTCTTAGAAAGTCACAATGCATGTCCCTATTTAACTACAGAGTTCCTCTTTCTTTTTCTTTCTTTTTCTTTCTTTCTTTCTTTCTTTCTTTCTTTCTTTCTTTCTTTCTTTCTTTCTTTCTTTCTTTCTTTCTTTCTTTCTTGGTCCTTTTTCATGGCATCCCTTTTAACATCTGGGGAACACTGTTTTCAAAACAAGTTTGGGAACAGTGGTTGACTTTTATTCAACAAATATTTACTGAATACTTAACTAAGTTCTAGGAACTGGAGATACAATTAACAAATATATAGGCCCCAGGTCCCTAATCGTGCATAAACAAGTAGGAAACACAAGTAGACAGGAAATTATATTAGAGTGGAATGATAAAGGTAATTTAGCGTGTTATGGAGAACACAGGAAGGGTGTGAGTTGTGCATGCACACAGAAGCAGAAGGAAATTATACTTAAACTGGGTCCTCAAGGATGAGGAGGAGTTAACCAGGAAAGATGGAGAGGGGTCCCTGGGGGACAGAGGCAGTGGGAGAAGAGAAAATAGCATAAGCAGGCTCTAAGGGGAGAGGCAGAAGCAGGCCTACGAGTGCAAGGGTAAGGCCTGGGGAGGGACACAGCAGGACGGGAGGCAACAGAAGGTTAGCAGGGTTCTGACCATGAGGATTTGGCAACCCATGTAAAGGAGTTTGGACTTGATCCTGAGGCACTGGTGGCCAGTACAGGGTATTAACCTGGAGAGAGAGAAGAGATTTGTGTTCTGGAGAGGTATGCCTGACCAAGGGTGGAGAGAAAGTATTATTTAATCTCTTTCTTCTTAAAAAGCAACCTCATGGGCATAGTCAAAACTGTAAGCTCGGGATCCCTGGGTGGCGCAGCGGTTTGGCGCCTGCCTTTGGCCCAGGGCGCGATCCTGGAGACCCGGGATCGAATCCCACGTCGGGTTCCCGGTGCATGGAGCCTGCTTCTCCCTCTGCCTGTGTCTCTGCCTCTCTCTCTCTCTGTGACTATCATAAGTAAATAAATAAAAAAAAAATTAAAAAAAAAACAAAACTGTAAGCTCAAACATGGAATGCATCAGAGATAAGAATGCATCTATCTGTCCTCAAGCTTGGTCTGATGTGCGGGACAGAAAAGAACCATTCTAAAATAATGTTACATAAAAAAAAAATTAAAAAAAAAGGGGGGATCCCTGGGTGGTGCAGCGGTTTGGTGCCTGCCTTTGGCCCAGGGCGTGATCCTGGAGACCCAGGATCGAATCCCACATCAGGCTCCCGGTGCATGGAGCCTGCTTCTCCCTCTGCCTATGTCTTTGCCTCTCTCTCTCTCTCTCTCTGTGTGTGTGACTATCATAATAAAAAAAAATTAAAAAAAAATAATGTTACGAATGCTCTAACAGCAGGGTAAGTAAAGAATAGAGAGCTCCGAACTCAGCTATGGGTACTGGGGAAAGCTAGAAAGAATGAATTCTATGTGGAGTCTTGAAGGATGAGTTCACAAGACGGATTTAGGGAACTGGGAGTGGAATGTGGAATGAGACTAGGTACACAGACAGGGAAAAGGCAGTTGGGGCAGAGGTAACAATGGAAGTAAAGGGATGGCACTGTAAACTGATTTAAATTATAGGAAAGCATGTAACCAAAAAGTCAGACTCAAGTACATATTCATTCCCCCCCCAAAAAAAAGAGGAAAACAATTAAGAAATTTACACATTACTTGTGGATGTGACACTCCAATGAATAAAAACGAACACTAGACTGACCAGTTACCTAGAAAAGTTGAAATTTATAGAGAGAAAGAATGGTGGTTGTCAGGGGCTGGGGGGAGGGGCAACGAGGAGGTGTTGTTTAATGGGGACAGTTTCAGTTCTGAAGATAAAGAGAGTTGTGGAGACTGGTTGCACAATGTAAATGTACTTAACACTACTGTACACATAAAACTGTACACATAAAACATTTTTTAAGAGGAACACTGGACCACATGTCAGGAAACCTGATTTTTCTTCCCAACTATCTGAGTGATCTTTGCCTACAGCAAATCTATACTTCAGTTTTCTTACTGAAGTAATGAAAGTTCTTATATGATCTTTCAGGTTCATTTTGGTTCTGATGGTTTGTGATTCCATTTTACAGACCACAGTGGAACAAAATGTCAGGCCTACCAAACGACTGTTATCAAGTTTTTCTACCTTATTTCAGCCTTATGTACAGCCACTTACTTGACATGGTGAGGCTGTGGAATTATATTTTACCCCCTGAGACCAATAGTTTACCTCTGACAATTATTTCACTCAAACCTTAGGGCAAATATTGGATTCTACATCCTTTACTATGGCACCTTTCCCTTGAGAGCATGCAAGTAGGCGGAGGAGCAAAGGGAGAAGGACAAGCAGAGCCCACACTGAGCATGGAGATCAACACAGGGCTCAATCCCACGACCCTAAGATCATGACCTGAGCTGAAATCAAGAGTTGAGCGCTTAACCAACTGCGCCACCTATGCACCTCATCTTTTTTTCTAAATATTTATTTGCGAGAGATAGCATGTGAAAGGTGGGGGGCAAAGGGAGAGGGAAAGAGAAACTCAAGCAGACTCCCCCTGAGCATAAAGCCCATTGCGGGGCTCGATCCCATTACCCTGAGACCACAACCTGAGTTGAAATCAAGAGTCAGATGCTTAACTGACTGAGCCATGCAGGTGTCGCAGCATATTATGTGATATTTAAAAAGAAAGATAATATTTGGTACTACTTTTAGAAGATGATTTACTGGGGTATTCTGTCAAATAAGCATTGGGATTAAAGCTAGTACTGAACCTAGGATTTCTCAGTAAGCAACAATAACACCGCAGTGTTTCTAATAATTTCCACCTGGCTTACCTCAATTAGGCCCACCTTCTATTTTGTATAGAATTAAAAGAGTCTTAGTGCCAATCTTTACTCATCAGCCCTTGGGAAGAGGAAGAGGAATAGGAAGCAGCCCTGTGTGAGAAGATAACCTGTATCAATTAACTTTCCTCTCAATTTAGTGAGACCGAGAGGTCAACTGATGAATTGCAACTCCTGCTTCTGAGAGCTGCCCTTTGCTTAGGCCCTTCATTCCACACCATCCTAGCTTGTAGTCTCAGTGATAATAAGAACCTTCATCGACTCCTGCTGGATAGAAAACATGCATTCCCTAAAGCACTCTGTCCCTTGTTCTCTCCCTATTGCAACTCACTAAATCATCCTGTTGCTAACAACACCTTCAGGTATAAAAACTAACACCTATATTTGTCAAACTTGAGTCATGGTTAAGATGCAGGGGAAAATGATACAATCACTTGTATTTCTATTGCAGTAGAAAGATGACCAAGTCAGTGGTGCATTTTACCATCACTAAGACAAGAGAAGCTATTAACAGGTTTTAAGTAAATGTACACATAGGAAAAGAGTAGTAAGCTTTCTGCTGAATGTTTTACATCAACTGACGTAATTTAAGAATCATGAATGTTATATTGTTTTGTGACTGATGTGATTAACTGAGTGTTTTAGAAGTGTTTGAAATAACAAAGATCAAAAGGGTCTATTCATCTTTTAATTTTTTTTAAGTAAGCTCTATGCTCAACATGGAGCTTGAACTCACAACCCCAAGATCAAGAGTTGCATGCTTCTCCAAGTGAGCTAGCCAGGTGCCCCAAAAGGGTCTTTAATGTAAAAATAAATAGTAAACTTTTAGGTTTATTAGCACTGGGAGAATTTTCAACTTTTGGGAGAGGTGGTCAAGAGCTCAGAGAACGACTATAACAACGTACCTTAGTACCCAAAATGTATTCACAGTTTGAAACCTTTTCTTTAACCTTCGGTGTTGCCATCAAATACTATAGTTGCTTTCATCCCTAAAGAAGGAACTTGTATTTTTTATCTTTTTTTCCTAAAAGGACTTTATATGCTTCTCTTGCACATTATTTAATACACTTTTTAGGGGTACCTGGCTGGCTTAGTCGGTAGACCATGGGACTCCTCATCTCAGGGTTGTGAGTCCAAACCCCCCCTTGGGCATGGAGCCTACTTAAAGAAAAAGTTTAATACAGTTTCTATATATGATTTAAAGTATATCAGGGTTCCACTCATCCAAGCTCTATTTAGTAATATGGTGCTCTTACAGGTTTACATCACATGAAAAGTTACAGAACACTCTAAAATTTGTTTCAGCTACAAAACTTATAGATTCCACACACAATGGTAACAGCCTTCATTGTTCTTTATCTAAATTAAAATACAAACCCACATGTTAAATAAATAAATCAGGGGTGCCTGGGTGACTTAGTTAAGTGTCTGATTCTTTTTTTTTCTTTTTAAAAAAGATTTATTTTAGAGAGAAACAGAAGGAGGAGGGGCAGAGGGAGCGAATCCTCAAGCAGACTCCCCATTGAGCACAGAGCCCAATGCAGGAGCCTGATCCCACATGAGATGATGACCTGCACCTAAACCAAGAGCTGGAGGCTCAACCGACTGAGCCACCCAGGCACCCATCCGATCCTTGATTTTGGCTTAGGTCATGATTCAGGGTCATGGGATCAAGCCCTGCGATGGACTCTGTGCTCAATGGGAAGTCTGCTTGAGATCTGCTCTCTCTCCTCTTCCTCTGTCCCTTCCCCACTGCGTGCTCTCTAAAATAAACAAATAAATCATGACAAAAATAAAATTAAATCAATAAACCAGTGGATCTTACTTAGATCCCGTTTAGAACAAATCAACTGTTAAGAATGTTTTAAGACAATGGGGAAATTTAAAACCAACTGATTTTAAAATGATATTATGGTATTACTGGAAATTCTGTTAAGTGTGGTAACAGTATGTTATAGAATAAATATATCCCCCCCAAATTCAATATTGAAGTCCTAAACTCCCAATGTGATGGTGCTCACAGATGGGCCATTTGGGAGGTAATTAAATTTAGATGAGGTTATAAGGGTAGAATTGCTCATTATGGAATCAGTATCTTTTTTATTTCTTTCTATTTATGTATGTATGTATATATTTTTTATTTTTATTTTTTAAAGTAATCTCTACACCCAACGTGGAGCTCAAACTCATAACTCCAAGATCAAGAGTTGCATGCTTTACCGACTGAGCCAGCAAGGTGCCCCTGTATTTATTTTTAAAGTAAATTCTATCCCCAATGTGAGGCTCAAACTCGCGACCCCAAGATCAAGAGTCACATGCTCTACTGACTGAGCCAGCCAGATGTCCAATGGAATCCATGTATTTATAAGAGGAAGAGAGACCAGAGTGCGCTCTCTCTCTCTCTCTCTCTCGGCCATGTGAGGACACAAAGAGAAGGCAGCTATCTGCTAGCCTGGAAGAGTTTTCATTAGGAACCATACCTGCCGGCACCTTGATCCTGGACTTCTTGGCCCCCAGAAATGTGAGAAATGTCTGTTGTTTAAGTCTATGGTATTCTGTTAGAGTAGTCTGAGCACAGTTTAAGTAACTGCTTAACACACAGTATGTGTGTTAGATTATGTTAAGAAAAATCCTTATCTGATATATATTATTTAGAGGTAAATGATATACAGGATGCCTGGAATTTTCTTTTAAATACCATAGCAAAAAAAGTTGGGGAAAGAAATGAAATTAGATTGGAAAATTGTTGATCATTATTGAATCTGGTTTATCATGAGGGTTCATTGTACTGTTTTCTTCACTTTTGAGTATTTTTGAATTTTTTATTAACAACAATTGTATTTTTAAAATTTTATTCATTTATTCATGAGAGACACAGAGAGAGACAGAGAGGCAGAGACACAGGCAGAGGGAGAAGCAGGCTCCATGCAAGGAACCCAATGTGGGACTCGATCCCAGGACTCCAGGATCATGCCCTAGGCCAAAGGCAGGCACCAAACCGCTGATCCACCCAGGGATCCCCCACAAAAATTGTTTTTTTAAATGAAGATTTTATTTATTTATTTAAGGGAGAGAGAGAGAGAGAGAGAGAGAGAGAGAGCGCGCGCGAGCATGAGTGGGAGAGGTTGAAGGAGAAGCAGACTTCCAACTGAGCAGGGAGCCCAAAGTGGGGCTCAATTCAAGGACCCTGAGATCACAACCTGAGCCAAAGGCAGACGCTTAACTGACTGAGCCACCCAGGCACCCCTATTAACAAACATTTCTTTTTGGTGGGCAGCAAAGCAAGGTTTATTGAGCAATAATAAAGTTTACTTAATGATAGAACACAAAGCTCCCAAAGAGGGAAGACACCCAAGAGGGTTGCCCTTAACAAAAACTTTTTAAAAATGTTTATTCTAAGAGACATGTGAGAAGGAAAAAGTGAATGGGCCACCAAGTCATATAAAATACTATCTGTAATGAAGTACCGTTAAGTGTTTCTTGCTTTTTAAAAATAGCCATGCATACCTTTTTGCAATGAAGTCTGGCTTGATTCATCTTGTGTATGGTCTTTCTGAGCACTCACTAGATCTGAAACCAGAGCCTCAAGTGATACATAGTTGCTCCCAGATGTCTGAATTTTTTCCTCCATTATTTTCTTAATGTCCTTGAAACTGAATCCCATTCGTATAGCTTCTTGTAACAGAGGATTTTGGAAGATGGCATCCTCTGAAATGAAAATTGGTGAAGAAAAAGAACACAGAGTTTAAGCAATTATTTTCATTAACACAACTCAACAGCAAAGTACAGTTAAAAAGAAAAAGGTGAACAGCAAGTAGAAAAACAAAAAACAAACCAGCAAATGAAAGCCACTTTGGGAAGAAGATTTTGAAATATTTAAGCACTGAAGAATCTTTCAGAATCTTAATCATCGCAAATACAGTATTTTATAGTACTATTTTTTTAAAGATTTTATTTATTTATTCACAAGATACAGAGAGAGAGGCAAAAACACAGGCAGAGGGAGAAGCAGGCTCCCTGGAGCCTGATATGGGACTCGATCCCAGGAGCCTGGGGTCAGGCCCTGAACCAAAGGCAGATACTCAACCACTGAGCCACCCAGGCACCCCTATTTTATAGTACTATTAATTGAGATTAGTTGCTCTAAAGGCTGAAGAAATAGTGCAAGATTAGGTAAAACCAGTAAGAAAAAGTTAAGCACTTCAAAACCCAGAACTTTTTTTCAAATCAGTTGTATTCACAACTAACCTAAGTATGTAGAGTGGATGTCTTTCCCAAGTCACTAGCAATTATTCTGGAAAAATCACAGGAAATAGGGGGAAGTCGAAGTCTCTGACCCTGAATGTGTGAGTTTCCCATCTCTGAGACTTAGTTTTTGCACCCCAGGGGAGTGACAATAAAATGAATAGAAACTCACTTTAATGGTACTCAAAGTAGAAATACAGGTTATGTAGGGAACTGATAAAGAGGAGACTTACATTCTTTGATTCATCAATTCTATTCTCAAGTATCAAAAATAAGGATGAAGGTCCACCAAAAACATGCACAAGAATATTCACAGCAGTGTCACGTATAACAGCCTCAAATAGGAAACAACTCAAACATCTATCACCAGGGGAATGGATAAGTAAATTGCGATATTGAAACACTACAGAGCAAGCAGAAAAACGAACTACTGCCACAGAAACATAGATAAGTCTCACAGATCTGATGAACAAAATGTCATCGTAACGATGGACCAGAGACAAAAGAATACACTGTATGATTACATTTCTAAGATGTTCAAATTTAATCTATGGTTAGTCAGAACATAAATCAGGGACAGATATTGATTGGGAAAAGGGCCTGAAGGAGTTTCTGGCCTGGCAGAAATGTTATTTTTTTTAAAGATTTTATTTATTTATTTGAAAGAGAGAGAGAGAGAGAGAGAGGGAGAGAGTGAGAGAAAGCACACTAGCAGGGGAGGGGCAAAGGGAGAATCAGACTCCCAGCTGAGCAGGGAGGGGGCAGGGCTCAATCCCAGGATCATGACAGAAGTTGAAGGCAGACGCTTGGCCAACTGAGCCACCCAGATGCCCCTGTTCTATATCTTGATTTGGCTGATGACTACACAAATAAACGCATGTAAAAATTCATTGAGTTGAATACTTAAGTCTATTTTAAGCATTTTATTGTAGGTGTATTATACTTCAATAATTTTTTTTTAAAAAGAGGAGCTGGAAAGGGATTTGATTGTAAGAAATATTACATAGTAAGTAACAAAAGTAGGAAAGTGTACCTTAAGATTTCTGTTTGATAAAGAGAACACTGTTGTATGGTTATAATACAGATAAAAGACCATTTATGAGACCACTAAAGCATCTGAATGAGAAATAAGGGCAGAAACTAGGGCAGAACCAGTGGATTTTAGACAATATTAAAAAGGCTGATTTCATCAGACCTGGTGGTTAATTAAATGTAGAGGGATTAAGGAAAGCAAAGAGCTTAAAATGGCTCAAATTACTGGGCGACCTTGTGAACTATTAAACTATTAACGAATGGGGGGGGGGCGTGCAAAGAACAAGCCTGGATTCAGTCTGAGTGATTTTTAGAAATGCTGAATTTGAGCTGCTTTTAAGATTTCCAGGTGGAGATGTCCAGAGGTCAGCTGGACATCACTCTTTCGTGGTTCTACTTGTTTTTTTTTTTTTCCCAACTTGTTTTGCTGGCTCCTTCTGCTCACCTGATTAGACACTGGTGGTTCCCTTCCATTACCTCAATGATCCCCTTTTTAACAATCTCTCTGGATACTTGCCCCACTACCACAATTTTACCCTTATTTATGAGTTCCAGGTTTTAAGATCCACCTACTTGGATACCCTGCAGGTATCTCAAGCTTACTTTGCTGAAAACCAAAAGCATGGGTAACAGGATATCCATATAAAAATAATTAGAAGGGCCCCCACTTTACACACATACAAAAATGAACTTGAAATGGATCAAAGACCTGAATGTAAGAGATAAAACCATAAAACTTGGGGCACCTGGGTGGCTCAGTTGGGTAAGCACCTGCCTTTGGCTCAGGTCATGATCTTAGGGTCCTGGGATCAGGCCCCACATTGGGCTCCCTGTTTGGCAGGGAGCCTGTGTCTCACTCTCCCTCTGCCTGCTCCCCGTCTGTGTTCTCTTGCTATCTCCCTGTCAAATAAATAAAATTTTTTTAATTTTTTTTTAAAATTTATTTATGATAGTCACAGAGAGATAGAGAGAGAGGCAGAGACACAGGCAGAGGGAGAAGCAGGCTCCATGCACCGGGAGCCCGACGTTGGATTCGATCCCGGGTCTCCAGGATCGCACCCTGGGCCAAAGGCAGGCGCCAAACCGCTGCGCCACCCAGGGATCCCTAAATAAAAATTTTTAAAAAAGATTAAAAAGTAATAAAATTCTTAGAAGTAAACTTGGATTAGGCAATGGTTTCTTAGATATAGCCCTGAAAGAATAAGCAACAAAAAATAAGATAAATTGGATTTCATCAAAATTAAAAATTTATATACTTCAAAGTATATCAGCAAGAAAGTGAAAAGAACGAGTGAAAATATTTACAAATCATATATCCGACAAGGTACATAACTGTAAAAATATTAGAATATATAAAGAACTCTTACAACTCAATAACAAAAAAATGAATAACCCAACTAAAAAATGGGCAAAGGCGATGAACAGACATTTCTCCAAAGACATACAAATGGCCAATAAGCACATGAAAGGATGCCCGACATCATTAACCATCAGGGAAATGCAAATCAAAACCACAATAGGATACCACTTCACATCCACTAGGATGGCTATAAAAAAAGACATACAAGGGGTGCCTACGTGGCTCAGTTGGCTGAGCATCTGCCTTAGGCTCAGGTCATGATCCCGGGGTCCTGGAATTGAGCCCCGCCATTGGGCTCCCTGCTCAGCCAGGAGCCTGCTTCTCCCTCTCCCTCTGCATGCGCACTCTCTCTCAAATAAAGAAATAGAATCTTTAAAAAACATACAATAACAAGTGTTAACAAGGATATGGAAAAACAAACTGGAATCCTTATATACTGCTAGTGGGAACGTAAAATAGTACAGCCGCATTGGAAAACTAGCCATTTATCAAAGGTTAAATGTAGAGTTACTACATGACCCAGCAATTCCATGCTGAAATATATACTCAGGCAACTTAAAAACCTATGTCCACGCAAAGATTTGCACACAAATGTTCATAGCAGCATCAGTATCATTCATAAGAGCCAAAAACTGGAGACCCAAATGTCTACCAACTGATGAGTAGATAAACAGAACATGGTATTATCTACACTAAGGAAACTTTTTCTACCATAAAAAAGAATGAAGTAATCATGTATAAGTACCACAACATGGATGAACTTCAAAGCCACATATTATGATTCCATTCATATGAAATGTCTAGAATAGGGACATCCAGAGAGATAGAAGTAGATGAGTAGTTAGTTGTCTGGGGGCTGAGGGGGAAGGGGCAGCAATGGGGAGTGGCTGCTAATGGATACAGGGTTTCTTTTTTGGGATTATAATAATGTTCTGGAATTAAATGGCAGTGATGGTTTGTTCCACAACCTTGTGAATTTACTAAAAACCACTAAAATGTACAGTTTATAAGGGTGAAATTTTTGCTACATGAATTGCACATCTCAATTTTATTTTATTATTGTTTCTTTTCATATCTCAATTTTTTAAAAGAATTATTTATTTATTCATGAGAGATTGCGGGGGCAGAGACATAGGCAGAGGGGGAAGCAGGTTCTCCGCAGGGAGCCCAATGTGGACTCAATCCTGGAACCCAGGATCACGCCCTGAGCTGAAGGCAAACGCTCAACCACTGAGTAACCCAGGCATCCCAATAAATGATTTCTTAAACTTTATTATTTATGCCCATTTCAAAATCTATATCAAATATTATCAAAGTGGCTCTCCTTCTTAAGTATATTTATGAGTACATATAGTTTTCTCTTGTCTTGTAACCCTTAAGATACCAAAAAGATGATGGTATAAGGAATGGGGCATCAGCAGACATTCTAAATTACACTTTCTACTATTTTTGAAACATGATGCCTAAGCGGAAAACGAGATCCACAGTGTGATGCAGATTTCAGAAGACCCCGTTTATAGTCCCAGTTCCACTAATGATTTGTAAATGTAACTGTGGGCGGGTCACTTAACCTCCTTGTCTCTGTTTCTGCATCTGAAAAGTGGAGATAACAATATCATCTTTGCTTAACATAGTATCTTTCTGGCTTTTTTTTAAAAGATTTTATTTACTTATTCATGAGAGACACAGAGAGAAGGCAGAGACATAGGCAGAGGGAGAAGCAGGCTCCATGCAAAGAGCCCGATGTGTGACTCCATCCCGGAACTCCGGGATCATACCCTGAGCTGAAGGCAGACGCTCAACCGCTGAGCCACCCAGGCATCCTGGTATCTTTCTGGCTTTTAAAGATGTTTATGATGAGTAAATAATCTTTGGGATAAAAATCACTACCTTTCTATAAGGTAAGAGGAGATAAACCGAACCATGCCCCTCTGTGAAGAAACTGGGAGAGGCTCAAGAACGGCATGGGATAAGGAAGCAGGTAGGGCCGACCATGGTGATGGCACATTAGTACAGCACTGGATACATGGTCCTGGCTAACTCAAGAAGTACCTGGGACAAAAATACACTTATCTCTCTTCCTTTGGGGATTTTAACAGAAATGGCAATGGACAGCCTATAGCTGCTCCTCTTAAGCTTGGAAAAGCCAACTGCACAACCGCCATAGGAATGTCCTTTCTTAAAATTTTATTTTATTTTTACTTTACTATAATTAGTATCATTTTATGTAATGTATATAATTATATAACTTATAATATAATTTAGTATAATTTAAATTTTTCCAGTACAATGTCCAGTGTTACATGAGTCACATGAATGTTCTTACTATATAAATATCTGACTTAAAAATTTTTTTAAGGATTTTATTTATTCATGAGAGACACACACAGAGAGAAGAGAGACAGAGGCAGAGACACAGGCAGAGGGAGAAGCAGGCTCCATGCAGGGAGCCTGACATGGGACTCGATCCTGGGTCTCCAGGATCACGCCCTGGGCTGAAGGCTGTGCTAAACCGCTGAGCCACCTGGGCTGCCCTGACTTAAAATTTATTTATTTATTTATTTTTGTTTTTTTTTCCTGACTTAAAATTTAAAAGATTTTATTTATTTATTCATGAGAGACAGAGAAAGGGGCAGAGACATAGGCAGAGGGAGAAGGTTCCCTGTAGGGAGCCTAATGTGGGACTCGATCCCAGGACCCTGGGATCACTACCTGAGCCAAAGGCAGATGCTCAACCACTGAGCCACCCAGCTACCTATAACTGACTTAAATTTATAGGCACTTCCTAATCCATAAATTTATAGCAATCTCATCTCAAATAAATCTACCTTGATTATCTTGAAAGGATAAGCTTATGTCTCCACCCTATAAAAAACAAATGTAATAAACTGCTAATGAAATTAAAAGTATACTTATTTTAATGTACATACTTACCAATTCTTTCAGTTAATGACTGTGTTCTTTCAGCAGTTCTTAGCTGAAATAGAAATATGGATTATAAGTTAGAATTCTTTTTGGTAAAAAAAAAAAGAATTCTTTTTGGTAGAAGACGATTACCTCATTTTGCAAAGTTACACTAATCATGAATTTATAAATTGGCTTTATTCCAATTCAACATATGAATGTTTGCAAGAGGCATAACCTGATGAAGCTAGAAGGAAGTTTTTTTTTTAGATTTTTAAAATTTATACATGAGAGACACAGAAAGAGAGAGAGGCAGAGACACAGGCACAGGGAGAGAAGCAGGCTCCATGCAGGGAGCCCGATGTGGGACTCAATCCCAGGACTCCAGGATCATGCCCTGGGCTGAAGGCAGGTGCTAAACCACCGAGCCACTCAGGGATCCCCACTAGAAGGAAGTTCAAAGATCATCTAACACAATCCACTCACTCTATAGACAGGACACTGAGTCTCAGGGAGTTTAAACAACTCGATTGAGGCAAGGGAGCTCATGGTAGAGCCATAATGACAACTCTGGCTTCCCATTCTAGTCCATGGCTCTTCCCACATGGTACCAATACCTTAGCCATCCCAGGCTGCACCATCAATTTAGACACGCTTCTGAGATTTAAAATACTGCCTTTGGAAAGTTCACAATTATTTATGAGTATAAAACACATTATAAAAAATTCTAATTTCAGAAAGTTGAGGGATTAAGTATTTTAGTTCTTCAAACCCATTTTTATTTACTGTGAGTTAAATCAATCAGCTTATAGGGATTCCCCTTTCACAAAGCTACTTCAGGTTAAGAAATAACAAGCATTCTTCAAGATCTCCCCTTTAAAGCCCACCATACATTATTAATTTAAGATACTATACTGTGAATTTTACACCAAGAAATCATTGCAAAACAAATTAAATAATATTTTATATTCTATAATATGTGACTTACCATTGAATGGGTTAAATGAATATTGTTTATATATTCTTGTCCCTTCTCTTCTAACAGATATTTACACCTAAACAATTAAAAGAAGGTTAAACTTTGGTAGCTGATAAATCAGTAAAGTATAAATACAGATATCTCCATTATCTTAATTCCATTAACTTCCTTTTTGGTATTTCTAAGAAGCTGCAAAATGAAATGTTATTTAATCTCTACCAACTGTCATTTCAAAGTTAAAGAAATACGTTCCTTTGTTATACTACTCTTTGGTAATCTTAGGCAAAAAATACCAACTTGAGAACTTCCAACTTTAAACCAAGTTATTAAATTTAAGATTTAATTTTTAAAAATACTTTAATTTTGTTTAGAGGATTAACCAACTACACACTCTGAAGGAACTCCTTAGGCTTTCAACCTTTTAAGGCTTTTTAAGCTTAAGATTTATTTTCAAACAATTGCTCTGAAGTTTTAAATTGTACTAGTTTGTAGGTCAAAGATTTTACATCACTTATATGTATGAATACTTTATTTTTAAAGAAACAAGATGGCAAAGAGACAGAGTATGTTATTATCATTCTAAGATGCCACTGATTATAAGAAGGATGATTATTTTATGTACCACTGCTGCCAATTAAATTATGACCCACCACCAGATGTGTCATTTCAAAAATTTGAAAATGTGAACAATTGTGTGTCTTATAATCAGAGAGATACAGCAAAATTTGCTAGGGGATGTGATGGGTTCCAAGGAAAAATCCTTGGCAACAAGGGCTCTCCCGTGGTCATCGTGAATGAGCCTACTTCTAACAACAAAACTATATATTCCGGGAGAAGAAATGTGTGGGAACTATCAGAAAGGGAGACAGAACATAAAGACTTCTAACTCTGGGAAATGAACTAGGGGTGGTGGAGGGGGAGGAGGGTGGGGGGTGGGGGTGAATGGGTGACGGGCACTGAGGGGGACACTTGACGGGATGAGCACTGGGTGTTATTCTGTATGTTGGTAAATTGAACACCAATAAAAATTAATTTATTAAAAAAACTATATATTCCTAATTAGTGTTTAGAAATAGAATCATTTGAATGTCATAGATATAACATATAAGCAATGAATGCTTTGGTCACCAGAGAAGGCTTAGGGCCTTTTTTTTTTCTGTAAAGTAGGTGACCCCATTTTTATAAACTTGGTGTGAATTGCAAGCCATAGTGAAGGCAAAAATAGTTGAGGTGAAAAGTTATTCAAGATTTTCTGACTGCAAAGTGTCTAACTTGCCTGTTCCTAAATAAACATTTAAATACCTTACCCTGGAAACCACTTAGCATGTTGTTCCCAAGGGTCTTCACTGGGCTTCCAATCAGTTAGCCCTCCTCCACAGTGAAAGCATTTTACTTTATCACCATCCCCTAAGAAGAGACACAAGTAAAAATACATGTATTTGTGCAATTAGAAGCCTATGCAAAAATGCCCCTTTAACACCATGAAATTAACCATTTTAAATTACATGAAAATCTCAGCTTCAAAGATGACATTCAAATTCACATCTAAATAACAGCCATGACTGTTTGAGGAGGGAATACACACTAAAGTCACTGATTCAATTTGAGGTATTTTACAGAAGACAAAATAAAATTGACCAATTTTTATGTGAAAAATTAAAATTGTTATCATTTGGGTCTACCAATACTACACTTTTTCAAACTGTGAAACTTTAACAATAAGGCTCAGGCTAACAAAATTACAAAGTAAGTTTCTCTAGGGTTATAGCTACAAGACACTAAACAAACCTTCAAAATTGCTACAGGATACTATGTGAATAAAATATTGAAATAACTAATATTTTGTATTTTGGCACTACTCAATCCTAAAGCAAATGGGTCAGATATATAATGGTATAACTTTTCTGAATATTCCTGGAAGTCATCACACTAAGGGCCCTTCCTGACAAGTTTACAGTAGTCCATTTGAGAAGTGCTTATTTGAAGCAAAAAGGCATACAGGGCAGCTTTCAAATATAAAGTCTATGTACAAAAGGCAGGTATCAAAAAAAACACAAAAGGCAGGTATCAATTTTAATATCAGCCAAACTAAACTCTCTAATGTTAACTCTTTTTATGAGGTATAGAAAGAATGCATGTGATACATGTACTGAGCACATATAGTAGGTGCTCAATAAATTATAGTTTATATTACTGTCAGACCCATTCTTCTATCTGGGAGATCTATCATCTTTTGCATGTCATCCTTCTCCAAAAAAACAAAGATAAATATAACTCACAATATAGTCTTTTTTTCACATAAATGTAGTAGTTACACTGCAAATTCAACATAAAGGTTCACAGATTAATCATGCCAGCCTATATTTACCAGTTCAGGGGGCTAAAGGAATCCACTTTTTAGGAGGACTGGGATAGTTGGAAAGTTATTTATTAGCCTGGTTTTATAATAAAGTTTACCTAAAGAATAAAATCCAGCTCTCGCAAGTTGCTCCTTGTTAATTGAACATATCCACATCCGGAAAGTAACGATCCGTGCTTCATAATCTGCCATGGCTGGATTTTCTGGAATACTTGTTGAATTTGGGACGTTCCTATCAGTACTCGCAACGTCAGATTCACTTCGAATATTAACATTCCGGCCCAGAACAAAGAAGCAATTAGGAAAGTGTCGCCTGTGTTCTGACCATGCATTATCACACGGTTCCCAATTTTTCAGTTTTCCACCACAACAAAAGCACTGCACTTGATCGTCAATACCTGTGTAGTAGAATCCAGCACTAGCTAACTCTCTTGGGGTCAAGTGGACATAGTCTGGCCAGTTCTGAAATGAGTTTAATCTAGCTTCTTCACTATACATGGCAGGGTTCTCCGGGTATGTGGTGTCTGATATATCTACGACCTGTCCAGTTCTCAAAAGATAATCTGCATGAGTCTCAGATGGTCTGTCTAAAACAAAATGATCTCTGTTTCTCAGATAGTTTTCTGCATTATATTGACCATTTTGGATACCTGGATTTGTAGGTTGTGCAGCAGTGTTTTCAAAATAAAAGCCATTGATAAATCTGCAATTTGGGGATACTTTCCTGTGTCTTCCAACTGCTGAGTCTCCATATTGCCATCTATCTATTGATGCATGACAACTAAAGCACCGCACGGTATCTCCTTCACCAGTATACAGAAAACCAGCTCGTGCTAACGTTGATGCTGAAACAGGACTGCTACTTGGAAAATTAGCAAAAGTTTTTAATCTATTAAACTCTTCTACAAATTCTTCATCCTTATTGATGCCTGCAGGTACACAAGTTTTAGCTCCTTCAAAACTGTTAAAAGTCATCTTCTCTTGAAAATAGGACTTGTCCACCTTTTCTGAAAAGACAACATTACATTAAGAAATTCAAAATCTGAAACACAGGCAATATAATTTTGATATTAGGAGCTAACAAATTACCTGATGACATAAAATTAATTACACAATCTCTAAAAAACATTCTAATTCCAAATACTAGAGCTCTGCATTACATGATTCAAGCTTTATAAAGTAAAAACCAGCATTTTTATTTTCTGGAGGAAAGTAATATTCAAGCAGGTAGAATAAAACTGTTAATTGATTACTTTACATAAATATGGAAACTGTGATACAGAATATATTAAAATTATTAACCATGTAAAATTATTAATTAGGAAAAACAAAAGTATAAATTATGCAGATTATTAAACTCTATGTATAATTGTTATAATAGATCATTATATATTTAAGGCATCAAAGTTCAGTTTTTCAATTTAAAAAAATGTTCGGAATGTTAATGAATTAATTTTTATTATTTCTTTACTTTTCTGCTTAGCAAAAGGTATTTGAGTTTTACTCACAACACTGGTTCCAATATGAGCATCGAGTGTTTAAGAGCACTTGAGTGTTTCTGATTTTCATGCATATGAAAATGGGACTCCTGTAGTCCATTTTCTGTGGGAATTGGATCTTTTCGGATATATATATTACTGCCCTCTAGAGGGTAGCTCAGGAAAGATAGTAAGTATGTATAGACCTTAATTGCAGTAAGTTTTGCTATCAACTTCCCACGGTCGAAAAATGATCTGTTCAAATGGAAGAGAAGTACTACTGCAGCCTCATTAAAGTTGCCACATTATAGCTGTGTAACATATAACCGAAATAAAATACTAAAGGAACTAGGTGGGTTATGAGAAGGGTGGCCAGATAATTTATCCTCCAAACCTGGACACTTTGGAAAGTGAAAAATGATGCTACTAATAATTACACTAGGACAACAGGGATAAATCAGGGTTGCCCCAAGCAAACCTGATTCTCCAGAATCTTGCATTGTTCCTAATACTGTGCTCAGTATATGTTTGGCAAAAAAAGAAAAAAAAGAAAAAGAATGGTCATAATAATTCTGCCTCTACTTCATATGTCAATTAATTGATTTCTTGGGAAGAATTAGCAGCCCTGGCATTATGTTGACACAATATGTCTTGGAACATCATTTCAGTGTAATGTTCAACACAAGTCTTGCAGGCTGGCAATAAACTTCAGTCTTTCCTGGTCTTGTCAATTTACAATGGTAGTAATTCATATATACCGCAAGAGCAGAGATATATCTGCATAGAACAATTTTTGGAAGATAGTCTCCATGACTTTTCATTATTGTTTCCCAGATGTCTGAAAACATTTTGACAGAAGCTTCAAGACCCCTTGTTCAATGAGCATAAGCTGGATGATAATAACCAAGGCTGTCTCACAGGCTGAGATGAAATTTAATAGGGATATGAAACATTACATTCTGACTTTAGAAACCTGTGGCACAACTAAAGGAAAATGGAAACTTGGTTTGGAAAGAAGTCATGTGAAGCCAAAACCTCTAGATTAAAATCTTGGGATTTTAGTTAATTAAAAATTCCATTATGAGGGGTACCTGGCTGGCTCAGTTGGTAGAGCATGAGACTCTTGATCTTGGGGTCGTGAGTTCAAGCCCCGTGTTCAGCACAGAGCTTACTTAAAAAAATTCATGGAGTGCCTGGGTGGCTCAGTTGGTTGAGCATCTGCCTTCAGCTCAGGTCATGATCCCAGGGTCCTGGGATTGAGCCCTGCTTTGGACTTCCTGCTCTGCTGGGAGTTTGTTTCTTCTTTTTTTTTTTTTTTAAAGATTTTATTTATTTATTCATGAGAGACACAGAGAGATAGAGAGAGAGACAGAGACACAGGCAGAGGGGGAAGCAGGCTCCATGCAGGGAGCCTGATGTGGGACTCGATCCGGGGTCTCCAGGACCAGGCCCTGGGATGAAGGCAGCACTAAACCACTGAGCCACCCGGGCTGCCCTGGGAGTTTGCTTCTTCCTCTGCCCCTTCCTTCCTCCACCCACCGGTGATCTCTCTCTCTTAAATAAATAAATAAAAATCTTTTTTTTTTTTTACTTTATTTATGACAGGCACACAGTGAGAGAGAGAGAGGCAGAGACACAGGCAGAGGGAGAAGCAGGCTCCATGCACCGGGAGCCCGACGTGGGACTCGATCCCGGGTCTCCAGGACCGCGCCCCGGGCCAAAGGCAGGCGCCAAACCGCTGCGCCACCCAGGGATCCCAATAAATAAAAATCTTAAAAAAAATTCATTATGAGCCAACATTACATGGCTACTAAAAAAGAAACTTAAAGCAACTCCAGGCTGCATTAATGTCCAGATGTACAAGGCCCAGATCCAATTCAGTTACACATTGAATACTATCTTCAGTACTGAAAACACTTCAGGAAGAACATTAACAAAGCATCCTATCTATAGAGAGCAATCCGGAATGACGAAAATGGTGTCCAATGTGGAACAGGTAGAAGAGCTGAGTGTTTATCTCAAAGGGAAAAAATTGTGGGTAGAGATCTGTAGCTGTAGCAGACAGAATAATTACCTTTAGTTATCTAAAAGGCCATTATATAGAAAAGGGATCCAAATTCAGTGTAGCTTGAGTGAAGCTGAGTCAATGAATATAACTATAGCCAGTAGATTTTAACCCAATACAAGGATGAACAGTTACAACAATCAACAGCAGTGCAGTTGGGGTTGGGGTGCCTTGTAGATTCCTCCCACCATGGGAAGGCACTTGGGCATGAACAAGAAGGCAGGACAAAACAGTTTTTTTTAAAAAAAGATTTTTAAATTAAATTAATTTGAGAGAGAAAGAGCATGAGCAGAGGAGGGGGGAAAGGTGGAGAGAGAAGCAGACTCCCTGCTGAGCAGGGAACCTGATGCGGGACTTGATCCCAGAACCCTGGGATCACGACCTGAGCTGAAGGCAGACACTTAACCAACTGAGCTACCCAGACGCCCAGGACAAAACATTTCTTTTTTAAAGATTTTATTTATGAATGAGGGACACAGAGAGAGAGAGAGAGAGAGAGAGAGAGAGAGAGACAGAGAGAGAGACACAGGCAGAGGGAGAAGCAGGGTTCATGCAGTGAGCCCGATGTGGGACTCAATCCCAGGACTCCAGGATCACGTCCTGGGCTGAAGGCGATGCTAAACCACTGAGCCATCCAGGCCGCCCCAGGACAAAACCTTTCTAAGTCTATAATGACCCTGCAGAATTAATGCTCAATATAATCCAAAACATATGGAAATTACCTTCTCTGAGGTGGTAAGTTTTATTTCTCAGGTGAATCAAAATAGAAGTATAAAATCAAGGATCTATTCTCATTTCACAAAAGTGGACATTTTGTATGGTTCAAGTAGTCACCCCATTTCAGATAATATTACATAAAACTCCATCATTCAATAATGGCAGGAGAATCTCTATCTGAAGCTTTCAAGTGGAGACCTCATCTTCCCAGGGGTTATTTCCATGCTAATAGTTTAGATTTCACTGTTTTGAAAAGCAAGTATTTATTCAGAAGCACTCAACTGAACACTACATATACATTATCAGAGTGTGAGCTTTTGTCAAAGGGTGTGAAAGCAGAATTGCCACAGAGGTTAAGGGTGAAAGGGAGAAAAATGACAATAGATAGAAACCTTGGGATTGGTGGAAGGCACCAAATGAAAGGCATGAGAGAGAATCCTTTTTAAAAAAAGGATTTAAGTAAAATGAAGGTGGGAGAGATGATATTTAGAAAATAACTATACATGGAGCACAGGATTTGTGAATAGAGAAGAAAATGGGGTACAGATATTGGAGAAAGGTGATGAAAAGGCTTTGGATATGAAAAGGTCAAAGTGCAATAAAGTATGCTGAGATAATTTAAGGCTTCTTTGTGAAAGCATACTCGGGTTTTGTATTGGGTAAGCAGAAAGGTAAGAAAGCACACAGAGAAAGATGTCAAAGAAAGCTTTGACATTAAAGGAGCTAGGTAGTCAGTAATCTTGAGGGGAACCGTGGCTGGGAAAAATGGTACTATGGAAGCCAACACTGGCACAGAAAGAATCTGCGAGCAGCCCTACATGTTTATATGAGGGGCATGGAAGATTTCAAAGTAGTAAGATGTGTTTCAAATATATGCATACCAAAAAAAATACACATACATGTACATATACATAGATACACAGCATACATGTGTATTTAGTATAGTCAACTAGGCAAAGATAGCCACGAGCAAGTGCCAAAGATAGACCGACTGCTAATCTAACGATAATGTGGAAATGTGGGGTGTTAGAGGGGACAGTAAAACATACACATAAAACACACCTACTGGCATCTGCACACAATACAAAAGCTTCTATTTCTCCCAGGCTTTTATTACTTAAGTTGTCAAATACACAGAATAAAGGTTATTTTAATGGGGAAAAGGACAGAAGATGTACATTAGACTGCCACTGCATGAAAACATATACTTGTCAATAAGACTTGTAATTTTTTTAAAGTAAACTCTACCCCCAATGTGGGGCTTGAACTCCTGACCCCGAGGTCAAGAACTGCATGCTCCACCAACCGAGCTGGCCAGGCACATCCCCTCTTACTTACTGTAAGGTAATTTTTATTAAATGGATAAATTATTTAGGGCGGCAGGAATACAGGTGATCCTTTTCTCCCAAATGTCTTTTTTTCCTCCAAAATGTCTTTAATATTTTCACTTACAGTCTCTTGGGTTGGAAGTGTCAGCCTGGATCAGGAGCCCAGGCCCAGGTCAGGAGCCCAATTATGGGGAGGTAGATGGACTAATAACTGTCCCACCTCAACCTCCTCCACTGGAGCCCTGCAGAGAGGAGGGAGGGAACTGTGCCTCTACCTGCTGCACTGCCAGACCACTCCTTGCTGCCCTGTGGAGTCCTATGGAGCTCAGTGGAGCTGAGTACTGAGATCCAAACTACCTCTATAGGTGTGTTTGGGGAGCTATGGATTCCTGGGCTGCAGCTGAGAGTGTACATGCGCCCACCTGGCATTCCAGAGAGGAACCCGGCACTCAATGACTGGCTACCAGGGCATCCTGGGGGTGAAGAGCAGGTTTCTCACTGGTTTTTGCTAGAAACATCAAAACTTGGACATTCTGAGGATTTTTATGGGTTACTACATGTTCATAAGATACCCATTGTTGACAATTTATTAGGCTATACAGACTTCTAGGGAGACTTACTACCTATAAATAATTATCACAAAGGTGTTTCAACAGACAACCCATTGCTTATGATTTTTATACAAAAGAAGGAAGAAGCAGATAACAGTGTCTGGTACAGACATGCTAACAAAGAAGGAAAATGTTTTAGTCAATGCACTGTGTTGTCAACCATAGGAAAAAGCCACATACAGTCATTGGTATGCCCCGAGACTTTAAACCTGCATCTTCTATTACAGACATGAATATTCTCCCAGAAACGCACCATAGAGTTAGTTTATCTTTAGAAACACAGCACTGAAAATTCTCTTGGACTCTATAGCCAGGATGGCTTCAGAAAGCCCAAGGGAGACACCACATGGCTTAGGTAAGTCCCAGGAATCTTTACATCCTGGCTTATTCCAGGAGATCTGGTTCACACACAGGGTTACCAGATAGTAATGATGAAGTTTTATTTTATTTTTAAAAAGGTTTTATTTATTTATTTATTGGGAGGGGGGACAAGCAGAGAGGAAGGGCAGAGGGAGAAGCAGGCTCCCCGCTGAGCAGGGAGCCCAAAGTGGGACTCGATCCCAGGACCCTGGGATCATGACCTGAGCCAAAGGCAGACGCTTAACCAACTGAGTCACCCAGACATATGTAATGAAATTTTAGAAGTTAATGGCATAGAAACTTCAGAAAGAGTTTCAGTCAAGTAATAGACATGATGATTGTAAACAGTTGCAAATCTCATCATCACAGTGAGACCAATAAACCAGAATGTTAGGAAATAGTAGGACTTCCTGCAGCTCTAGCAAATCTACTGATGATAGTTTTCTTGGCTATCCACAGCAAATTAAACCAAATACTGACCAAAGGATGAAGACAGTGATGAAGATGACATTATTATTGAATATAATAGTATGCTACAAAAAATTCTTAAAGCTATTCTCACTACCAGAAAGGCTGGAATGGTTAACACACATAGAACAAACTTAAGTTTTGAGTCTGGACAAAATGGTTTTATTCCTTCTAATGAAATGAGTTTAAGTAGCAAGTGGCACAAAAAGAACTTGAAACACATGTACCAGATCAAAAACTCTCAGAATATGGAACAACCCTATCATGGAATCCTCATTCGAATGTTTTCTGAATGAAGATGTCACAGGACTTGTAAATATGGCTAGTTGAAGAATTTTAAAACCCCAGAGTCCATGACCTAGAATAAGCCTGAGAAACAACAGTGTTGCAAGTTTAAAATTTTATCAAAATAAATAGAAACAGAAAATAGATGGATGCCTACAGCTGGCGCAGGAGGGGAATGGGGGAGTAACTGCAATTGTTTACTGAGAGGAGTAAATCACTTCTATTGGAAGTGGTTATTTAACCTGTTACAAAGATTCTAGTTAATTTTTCTTTCAACTACATTCTTTATATTCTAATGTGAAGTCTGCTTCCTATCGCTTTTGATACAGAGGACCTCAGTTCTTATATTCTCAATATTATATTTCTTAATGTTCTACCGTTCCTAATCATTACAAATAATTTTCTGAAATTCATTTTTTCCTAACTTCTAAGAAATCAAACCAACTGGCTATCTTTAGGAACTTCATTCCATATTATGAAGCACTGAATCTATGTTCCTAAATTACAAAATTCTGTGTTTTTAACATTCACTTTGTTCATCTCATAGCTTAAGTATTTATAAACTAGTTCCAAATAGGCATAATTTGTTATGAAGTGCAGTTAACTGTACTGGCTCTGGTAACAGGAGACTCTCTTAATTCTTATCTTCATTCTCTCATTGCAAAGCATTCCTTTTGTTATACATGTTATACATGTCTACATATATGTATGTTAGTGTGCTTTTGAACTCTTAATGTATTCAAGTAGTGTGAATTATTTTGAATACTTATAGATCTTTACACATAGGACAGATTTGTGTACTTTTTTATACAAAGATTTTGGATCTTCTACAGTAGGATAATAATATTCTAGGATCATTGACTAAACTTTGGGAGAAAGTCATGATATTTATTACTGACAAAGGTTATCTATATTATTTTCATTAGATTATTTTTTGCATATCCACTTAGAACAAATAAGAGTAAAGCTGCCAAGTTTCATTCTTTGCCTGACTTCTCTGGTATTTATCATTGTACACTGTGCACAAGCACTACAGTATTCATGTATACAGAAATTAAGAATATTATGAAGCACATAAGTTCCCTATAATTTATGGATAATTCCCCCCCAAAGCTATTTATTAAGTAATTTCTATGCCCAACATGGGGCTCAAACTCAGGACTCCAAGAGTCACATGCTCTTCTGATTGAGCCAGCTAGGCACCCCTATTAATTAATTTTATGGTAGGTATACTATGAGCACCTTCATTTATTTATTTATTTAAAAGATTTATTTATTTATTTGAGGGGGTGGGGGTGACACAGAGTCTTAAGCAGACTCTTTGCTCAGTGCAGATCCTGATGCAGGCTCAACACCAGGCTGGACCTTACAACCCTGAGATCACAATCCATTTAACCAACTGTACCACTGAGGCACCCCTAAATATGCCTTTAGAAACTACTGTGTGCTATTACAACAATGGAAGAATCAAATGACTACATTCTGAAGGACATATTCTCTAAATGGCAAAAGAAAAAATGAAATAAAGTCTGATTAATTTAAAACAAAGAACCTCTAATGTTAAAGCAGTAGAAAAAATCCCATGCAGAGAAGTATTCTTCTGTGAGATTTAATATCAGAACACTATTCAGAAATGTATTTAAGGATGGTCCTAGCATCCTGGGATACAGCCCTGTGACGGGCTCCCTGCTCAGCGAGGAGCCTGCTTCTCCCTCTCCCTGCCCCCCACTCACGCTCTCTTTTTCTCTCTTAAATAAATAAATGTAAGTAAGCAGTTTCATATGTGTGCCACAGTGATGAAACTCTGCAAATTAATACAAATTTATACTCCAGAATTAGTCTTTGTGCCACCATTATATCTTATACACAATTGGCTGATGACCCAAGTTGTGCTAGAACAAGATTTAATAATTTCTGCATGCATGTTTTTATGTGTATATATATGTTGTACATTGCTAGAATGAAAGTTTTTTTGGGAAGGACTGTGTCTTATCACATCTGTATTCTCAATGCCTAAGGCAATGCATGACGTGCAGTAGTGCTTAATAAATGTTGGGTAAAAGAACACATGCTGAACCACCTCCATTAGGTTACTGTTGTTGTTATGCCACATCCCACCCACTGTCTCCCCTGGACATTTGAGATCACCATAAGCACTAAAAATTGTTAATACATGCCTAGCAGGGGCAGCCCAGGTGGCTCAGCGGTTTAGCGCCACCTTCGGTCCAGGGCGGGATCCTGGAGACCTGGGATCGGGTCCTGCGTCGGGCTCCCTGCATGGAGTCTGCTTCTCCCTCTGCCTGTGTCTCTGCCTCTCTCTGTATCTCTAATGAATAAATAAAATCTTTTTTAAAAAAATACATGCCTAGGAAATATGAACAATACAGGAAACACATACACACTATGCAAACAGTGTAATTCTTCAGTGATAAAACTTATCCTAAAATCACATTTTAGAAGAACCTGGCTGGCTTAGTAGGAGAAGCATCTTAATCTTGATCTCGGGGTGATGAGTTTGAGCCCCACCTCTGGTATAGAGATTACTTAAATAAAAACTTTTTAAAATCACATTTCAAAAATATTATAGGATTCATAAAATTTTTCATAGTAATAATAAAAATTTTTTATGTGTTCACCATAAAACACCATCATAATTTCAAATTTATTTCATTAGTCACCTTCTCTCCCTACAGAAGATCCAGCCCAGAGATCTTTTAAAAAAGGAACATTCTCACTGACCCAAAGGAGGCCAATCCCTCTTTTAATTACCTTCAAGTATCAGCCAGTTAGTTCCTTGTTTAGAAATAGCATTTTGATTTACAAAATTGTAGTATCTATGTAAATTTATCATAATATTAAGAAGCTTAACTTCTTTTTTTTAAGAAGCTTAACTTCTAAAAATGATATGCCCTGAACAAAAAGGGTATATCATTTTTAAAGTTAAGTCTTTATGCTATATTTACATAAAAAGATTTTATTAATTTATTTGAGGGGGGGAAGCACAGGCAGGGGGAAAGGCAGAGGGAGGGAAAGAGAGGAGCACACTCCCTCCTGAGTGTGGAGAGGGGAAGTGGGCCCCATCCCAGGACCCAGATATCATGACCTGATCCCAAGGCAGATGCTTAACCGACTGAGCCACCCAGGCACCCCAAATGTTTCCCTTTTTAAGAGAAGAATTAAAAAAAAAATCTTACTACCCAGGCTGTGTCCTTTAGTCTATTTATTCTTTCAGAACCTTTTCTATGTGCATGTGCACATGCACATTATAAATATTTCTAGAGGGGATTTATTAAACATGGTATTTTATAACTTGCTTTTTTCCATTTAATAATATATCATAAACGCATCTTCCCACATCTTTATCAAGATCAGAACATTTTTTTAAATGGATGACTAGAACATGACTATACAAATATATTATAACCTCACATATTTCTGGACACTAATTTTAGATGTATATTCTTAAAAAGAGAGAAACTCACATGATCAAACAATTCAAGAAGTCACCTCATTCATGCCACCTTGTACCTTAAACCTCTGGTTTAAGTTTCTACCTTCCCCTTAACTGCCTAAAGGAATTTAGATAGAGAGCCTGGTCCAGGAAGAGAACCAACATCAGAAATAACTACAAAGATATGGACTTGGTGTGCTTACGCCAACCAGGGGAAGCTCTGCAGGGCCTAGAGATCAAATTCCTCTCTGTGACCCACTGTCTCTGTATGGCCTGGCAAACATTTGTTTATCAAACATTTGCTCTTCCCATCTTCTCATAAATGGTATTCCTCAGACACCTACCGCCCTTCTCCTTAGCTCAGGATGACAAATAAGCCTCAACCACCTGACTGCCTGTGGCTCTCACATTCTTACATGGTGTCTGTATGTACTTAGGTAAATTTGTTTTTCCCCTGTTAATCTGTCTTATATCAATTTACCAGCCAAACAATCCAAAAGAGTAGAGTAAAAAGGTTTTCTCCCCAACAGTTGGTGAGCCAGGCAGGAGCAACTTTACTGGCTGATCACTGCCTGCTCCAGGACTACTGGAGCTGAGATATCTTGGTACACCTCTGATAGGCCTTGGCAGAAGGTAAGAATTCTTACCACGTCCATCTTCTGGATCTCTGCCTGAAGGGTCCAGCAGAAATGAGTGGTGAAAGTCCTTTTTTTTCTTTTCTAAATTTAGATTAGCAGGAAAAAATATTTGTGAAACTAATTCCTTAGATATAACACCTCTGGTAAAGATCTGAGTACTTGATTTTTTTTTAAAAGCACTCTTGATTTTTATTGATCCTTGTCCTCCCAGGGACGGTTACTCTTTCTGTCTCTGTTGTGTTGTCATAAAAAGGAAGACCATAGCATAGAACACAGACATAGGCTCTATGAGCCTGCTGTTCAAGCCAGCCTCACTGATTGGTGAGTTCATGGTTCTCACCAGACTGGTGTCCGTTTAGACAAACTTTGCTGTGGGTTAATGAACACATGAGGTAAAGGCTGTTGCTAAGAAACATCTTGGAAGCCAAAGCCACAAGATTGGAAGGCATGGGTCAAGCATTTAAGTGCTATTAGAGCACTGGCCACCTACTCCAAAGACCCCTGTATTAGAATAAGTTGGTCACAGAACAAGTTAGATATATACTAGGTCACCTGCCAAACTCAAAAAAATTTCCATGCAAGTTCCTCTGTAAACCATCACATGATCCCCACCCAATGGCATATCCCTCTTAGGTATTAGTCTGGCTCCAAGAGACCCAAGGCTTAGCTCAAGCTGTTAACATCCATATACAAAGTTGGATGAGGTTTTCCTTTGTCTTGTTCTGTCTTGACAACATGGTTGTGTGACCAATGAGAATTTTCTTTCTTGTCTCTGCCATACCAGTGTGCATCTTGTTGGCTAAATAGACTGGGCTTCTGAGACATGAAGTCACAAGCAGCAAGCTTTTCATCCAACTGTACCAGCTGTCAGGGGAGTCCGTCATAAGGGGTCCCAGTCCATAAGAGGCTTTTGTCATCTCAACCTTCGTTGTTTTGTCAGTGCTGGAAAAAAAAACCATTCTAGTAGTGCCTGGCAGGTATCGGATTAGTGGGTCTGGGACTGGAGGTCTTCTTGTGGGAAAATAGAGACACTGTTTTATTTTATTTTATTTAAAATTTTTTTTAAGATTTCATTTATTTATTCTTGAGAGACACAGACAGAGAGAGAGGCAGAGACACAGACAGAGGGAGAAGCAGGCTCCCTGCAGGGAGCCCCATGTGGGACTCGATCCCAGGACCCCAGCATCACGCCCTGAGTCAAAGGCGGACACTCAACCGCCCTGAGTCAAAGGCGGACACTCAACCGCTGAGCCACCCAGGCGTCCCAGAGACACTGTTTTACTACACCATTCTTAGAGCCTATAACAACAAAGCGCTTTACTTTCTTAGACTATCTTTGGGAGTGAACTTTCAGGATCTTATAAGGACTGCATCTTTTGCACTCTTGTGGGATGTCTCTTGCATGGTTGGTTAAGCCATAAAAAGCTTCTTGATTTGAACTGCTATTGACATTAATAGATACTACTTGTTGGGGCGCCTGGGTGATTGAGTCAGTTAAACATCTGGCTCTTGATTTCGGTTCAGGTCATGATCTCAGGGTCATGAGATGGAGCCCCTGTTGGGTTCCGTGAGCAGCAGGGAGTCTGCTCAAGATTTTCTTTCCTCTCCCTCTTCCCCTCCTCCCTCACGTGTGGATGCTCTCTCCCAAAGAAATAAGTTTAAAAAAAAAAAAAAAAACAGATGCTACCTGCCAATGGCCAGATGATAGCTCTTTTTCTGAAATGAAAAAGTTCTATATTTGAAAAAAAATTTTAGAAAGCTCTCATCCTAAACAATTATCTTAATGGTACCTGTAGGAAGACCAAACTAAAAAGTAGACACAAAGACACAGAACTAGTCTTAGACTCCCTTAACAAGATGTAAGAATAGAAATTAGAAGAAAAATTAAAGTCCCCAATATGAATTCCCCTTAAAATCTAGCCCATCTCCTCAGCAAATTCCTTTAGCCCCCAAAGCTCTTTCACCTTCCCCAGAAAATCCCTTAAAATACCTAGTTGCTTTTTTCAGTTTCCCTTTCCCTACAAGATTTACAGGTAGCATGCCAGCATGATCTCTAAGCCCCAGGGTAGACAAGTTACTCATGTAAAGTCAGAAAATAAATTTAACAGAAGCACCCAGGATGGACAGTAAGTCTCAGACATAAGGCTTATTTTGCTAGGTTCTATAATCAGGCTCCTCCAACTTCCAGCCTTGCTATGCAATGTACCAAAGAATTCATGTCCTCTGGAAGGCAGCAGATCTTTTAAATTATAAAGCCCTTTTACCTCTTCTTTCAGAGGAGCTTACCAAATTTAAAGAGAAATTATAAAGATGAATGGCCATTTATAACCACACTCAGAGGGATCCTGTTTGGCTGCTAAGTGGTATTCTTTCCACCCATGATTAGGTTATCTGACAAACCAGGCCACCCCCTGGAAACCTCCCTACCACCTGGAATTTCTCCAAGGCCCTCCTACTAATATCAATTGAAGGCAATGTTCAGGGGCTGATAGGGAGGTTTTTCCCCTTAAGGTGAATTCAAGATTGAACTGTACACTCAGAAAGGAGGCCCTTATTAAAAGGCCTTATAGAACCTTTACTGAATTCAACTCCGAAAATGCTTGCTGTTTATTTGGCTAAAAACTGACAAGCTATTTAAAATATTTTTTTCTGGGATGCCTGGCTGGTTTAGTTGGTAGAGCATGACTCTTGATCTCAGGGTCACGAGATAAAGCCCTATGATGGGCAAAGAGCTTACGTAGCTTTGCGGTGGGAGATTGGCCAGATTGGAAGCTAATATTCAGAGCCTGACAGGAACGTTTTTTTATGGCCTCCTCCCCTAAGTTAAAATAAAACTATGTACCCAGAGGAAAAGAAAAATCCTCTAAAGCCCTTGTAAAAGGATTGATGAGTGGATCAAACTGTGAGGCCATTAAAGTTGCAACCCAATTCTTTGAGAACCTGTCCTTAGCTTACAAATCTTTGCAAAACTAGAAATGCAACTCTAGAGGCAATTCAAAGTTCCTCTCTTCCTATTTACCATTCCCCAAACCTCCCCTATTTATCTCACAAGGCGTGTAAATATCGGCCTCAAGAAACCAAAATCTTTCTTGAAGGAGCCTGCACTCTTTCCCTGGGCCCTTGAGATGTAAGTGTTAACTCTTACCTACACTATCCCCAATTCCTAAGAGTGGTATGAAAAAAAGGGGGGGGGGACAAGGCATTTTTAAAATACAAACTGCTAAAAAGGCTTTCGTG